GGAGCTGGAACAGAGTGGATGTAGGAGGGTGTGGAAGTCAGATTAGGTTATATAGGGCCTTGTGGACCATGGTAAGGACTAATTAAAAATTAGTTTAATGAATTTTAATAAGGCAAACACCCTTGTATAACTACCATCCATGTCAAGAAATTGAACTATGCCAGTCAGTCCAGAAGCCTTTCCATGTATCCTAATCTCAAAACAAATCTCATGCTTTTCCCCAAAACTATACACTATTCTGACAATTTTAGAGATCACTTCCTGTTGTTTCTTTAGTTTTAGCATCCAAATATGCAGGCATATATATTATAGTCTCACCCTTTAAAAACAATCTGGCACATATTTTAAGTTTCTTTTAATTTATAGATTTCCAAATGCTCAATTCCTATCATAACCATACACTATTTTGGGGGGGAGCCTAGGTCATTCAGGCAGTAAACTTATTTACCATCTGAATTTTGCTAACTGCAAAATTTTTTCAGTCAGACCGCTGATTGTCCAACACATTCTTCTTAATTCTATATTTCATACAAATTGGTAGCTGGATCTAGAGGCTTAATCAGACTCAATCTGATTTGGCAAGGCTATCTTTTTTGTTTTTTAAAGATTTTATTTATTTATTTGACAGAGAGACACAGCCGAAGGGGGAACACAAGCAGGGCGAGTAGGAGAGGGAGAAGCAGGCTTCCTGCAGAGGGGGGAGCCAGCCTGACGTGGGGCTCAATCCCAGGACCCTGGGATCATGACCTGAGCCGAAGGCAGACACTTAACGACTGAGCCACCCAGGTGCCCCGACAAGGCTATCTGTTATGTGTAGTTGTCTTCTTGTGATTTTAGCAGCATTTGATCCTCAGTGCCTAGATTCATTAGTTTGTTTGATTTTGCAAAATTCTGATTTCATTTCTCAATATTATTTAGAAAAACTTTTTAAAGAGATACAGCCCTGCATCTACTATCTGGTTACTGAGGTTTATAGTCCATATAGGAAAAAGGCATGATAAATACTGGATTGTTATTCTTTATTTGGTAGTTTTCAAGATAATGAGTTGGTTTCTTTTCATATTTTTCCAAGAGACTAACTTGACGATTTCAATCTATTGCAATTATTATTTTGTTGAGGTTCAGATTGTCCCGTCTCTGGCCCACTAGAAGATCTACAGGAGGCCCATTTTATACTACAGACACCTGCAGATTGAAAGTAAATGGATGGAGAAACATCTATCGAACAAATGGATGTCAAAAGAAAACCAGAGTAGTAATAACGCACATCAGATGAAGTAGACTTTAAAACAAAGACTATAACAAGAGATAAGGACACTGTATAATAATAAAGAGGACAATCCAATAAGATGTTATAGCAATTTTAAGTATTTATGCACCTAACATAGGAGCACCCAAATATATAAAACAGTAACAAACATAAAGGAACTAATTGCTAATAATACCATAATAATAGGGAACATTAACAGCTCACTTACATCAATGACAGATCATCTTAACAGAAAATCAACAATGAAACAATGGCTTTAAGTGATCCACAGGAGCAGGTGGATCTAACATATATAAACGTATAAAACAGCAGAATACACCTTTTCAAGTGCACATGATTCTCCAGAATAGATCACATATTAGCCCACAAAACAAACCTCAACTAATTCAAGAAGATCAAAATCATACCATACATAATTTCTGACCACACCACTATGGAACTAGAAATCAACCACTAGAAAAAAGTCTGGAAAGACCACTAATACATGGAGATTAAATAACATGCTACAAAACAATAAATGGGCCAACTAGGAAATGAAGCAATAAAGAAGTACACGGAAACTTGGGGTACCTGGGTAGCTCAGTCAGTTAACAGCTGACTCTTCATTTCAACTCAGGTCATGGTCTTGGGGTCACGAGATTGAGCCCCCCGTGGGGCTCTGTGCTCAATGGGGAGTCTGCTTGTCCTTCCTTTCCCTCTCCCTTCCACCTGCTTGCATGCGTGTATATGTGCTCTGTTGCTCAAATAAATAAATAAATAAATAAAATCTTAAAAGAAGTACATGGAAACAAATGAAAATGAAAACACAATGGTCCAAAACCTCTGGGATACAGCAAAAGTGGTTCAGAGAGGGCAGTTTATAGCAATACAGGTCTACTTCAAGAAGCAAGAAAAATCTTGAATAACCTAACCTTGCACCTACAGGAGCTAGAAAAAGAACAACAAAACCTAAAACCAGCAGAAGGAAGGAAATAATAAAAGATTAGAACAGAAATAAGTAATATAGAAACTAAAAACACAGAACACATCAATGGAAACAGGAGCTGGTTCTTCGAAAAAAATCAGTAAAATTGATAAACCTCTAGCCAGACTTATCAAGAAAAAACAAGAAAGGACTCAAATCACAAATGAGAGGAGAAATATAACAACACCGCAGAAATACAGATAATCATAAGACAAAATTATGGAAAACTATATGCCAACAAATTGGACAACCTGGAAGAAATGGATGAATTCCCAGAAAAATAAACTACCAAAACTGAAACAGGTAGAAATCGAAAATAGAAATAGAAAACTTGAACAGATCGATAACCAGGAAATAAATTGAATAGGTAATCAAAAGTCCAGGACCAGATGGCTTCACAGGTGAATTCCACCAAATATTTAAAGAAGATTCGTACTTATTCTCCTTAAACTGTTCCAAAAAATAGAAAAGAAGAACTTCCAAATTCATTCTACAAGGCCAGCATTACCCTGATACCAAAACCAGAGAAAGACTCCACTAAAAAGAATATAACTACAGGCCAATATCCCTGATGAACATGGATGCAAAAATTCCCAATAAAATACTAGCAAACAATACATTTAAAAAATCATTCATTATGATCAAGTGGGATTTATTCCTGGGTAGCAAGGGTGGTTCAATATTCACAAATCAATCAAAATAAAAGAAAGGATAAGAACTGTATGATTATTTCAATAGATGTGGAAAAAGCATTTGACAAAGTACAACATCCATTCATGATAAAAACCCTCAAAAAGTAGGTTTAGAGGGAACATACCTCAACATAATAAAGGCCATATATGAAAAACCCACAGCTAATATCCTCCTTAATGGGGAAAAACGAAGATCTTTTCCCCTAAGGTCAGGAATAAGACAAGGATGTCCACTCTCAGCACTTTTATTCAACATAGTACTGGAAGTCCTAGCCACAGCAGTAGGATAACAAAAAGAATACAAGTCATTAAAATCAGTAAAGAAGAAGTAAAACATTCACTATTTGTAGATTACATAGGCGATATGTAGAAAACCTGAAAGACTCCACCCAAAAACTGCTAGAACTGATGAATGAATTCAGTAATGTCACAGGATACATAATGTGCAGAAATCTGTTGCATTTTTATGCACCAATAATGAAGCAGAAGAGAGAGTACAAAACCACTCCCATTTACAATTGCAACAAAAATAATAAAATACCTAGTAATAAACCTACCAAAGAGGTGAAAGGCCTGTACTCTGAAAACTATAAAAGACTGATGAAAGAAATTAAAGATTACACCAAGAAATGGAAAGGGAGACGCCTGGCTGGCCCAGTAAGTAGAGCATGTGACTCTTGATCTCAGGGTCATGAGTTCAAACCCCACAATGGGTGTAGAGATTACTTAACAAATGAAAAAAAATTACACAAGAATTTTCAAGTGCGTGGGTGTCAGCACCCCTACATACCATGTTGTTCAAGGGTCAACCATATAGATGTCTTTCAGATGCCCTGTTGCTTCCTTGTCCTTCCTCCCACTCATTCATTTCATGCAGGTATTATGGTTATGTTGGTTGTTTCCAACCACTTGTATTTTGGAGTTTGTAGGGAAACTTTGTCACCTAGTTTTGTTTTAAATGTTGTTTGTGTTTTTTTGGTTTTGCTATCTGGTTTCTTTGTTTTCATGGATGATTTGTCGAGATTAAAAAACCTATTCTTATGGCTTCTCAGATTCCCTTTCATTTTCAGGACTTGGACTTGGAATACTTATGGAGGTGTTGCTGGATTTTGAGCAGAGAAGTGACATGGTCTAACTCTGGTGTATATACTGCAACTAGACCACAGGGATGCAAAGAAAGAAGCAGGGAAACTATTAAAAGAATATTGTAGAAATCCAGGCAAGAGATAATGTTGCCTTGGACCAGGGGCGAGTAGCTGTGGATTTCATGAGAAGTGATCATATTTGGATATATTTTGAGGTATAAGTTGATAAGATTTTAAGATGGATTGGATGTGGAGTTTGAAAAAGAGTAGTCAAAAGACAGCTCCAGTTTTATTTTATTCCGCACAGCAGGACAATGGAATTGTTTTCAACTAAGACTGGGAGGGCCATGGATATGTAGTAGACTTTGGGAATACAATCAGGAGTTAAGTTTGGGCTGTGTTGAGCTTGAGATAGTTAATAGACTTCTGTGTGGATCTTTATAATTCCACTATTCTATGGACTGAAAAAGACATTGCTTACTATAGACAATTGGAAAATACAGAAAAGTTAGGTAAGAATATAAAAATCAAAATCATATCACTGTCATTGTTAGCATTTTGATATGATTCTATGAGTATATATAACATTACAAAATCGAATTTCTATTGTGTACATACACAAAAGAATCCACTTTCACAAGACAATGTGTTTGTTAAGAGTGAAATAGTCTTTGAAAACATGACTTTTTAATTTTTTATTATTTTTTTAAAGATTTTATTTATTTGAGAGAGAATGAGAGACAGCATGAGAGGGAAGAGGGTCAGAGGGAGAAACAGACTCCCTGCGGAGCAGGGAGCCCGATGTGGGACTCGATCCTGGGACTCCGGGATCATGACCTGAGCCGAAGGCAGTCGCTTAACCAACTGAGCCACTCAGGCGCCCGAAAACATGACTTTTTAAAAAAGATTTATTTAGGGGCGCCTGGGTGGCTCAGTTGTTAAGCGTCTGCCTTCGGCTCAGGTCATGATCCCAGGGTCCCGGGATCGAGCCCCACATCGGGCTCCCTGCTCCGCGGGAAGCCTGTTTCTCCCTCTCCTGCTCGTGCATACTCTCTCGCTATCTCTCTCTGTTGCTATCTCTGTCTCTCTCTCAAATAAAAGATTTATTTATTTATTTGAGAGAGAGAATGCATGAGTAGATGGCAAGGCAAGCGGGGAGGAAGAGAGAGAAGCAGACTCCCTGCAGAGCGTGGATCCCAGTGTGAGGCTCATCCTCATTACCTTGAGATTACAACCTGAGCCGAAATCAGGAGTTGGATGCTCAACCTACTTAGCCACCCAGGCGTCCCCGAAAATAGGAGTTTTAATGGTATTTCATCTTTTTAGTCTAATAAATCTAACCATATGGGTTATGTACTTTTTTTAAAAAAGATTTTATTTATTTGTTTGCAACACAGAGAGAGAGAGAGAGAGAAAGGACATGAACAGTGGGGAGAGGGAGTGGGAGTGGGAGAAGCAGGCTCCCCACTAAGCCAGGATCCTGATGTGGGGCTCGATCCCAGGACCCTGGGATCATGACCTGAGCCGAAGACAGACACTTAACCATCTGAGCCACCCAGGTGCCCCTGGATTATGTACTCTTATCCATTCCTTTTTTGCATGTCCATTCCAGCCCTGACGCTTGCTTTAGTCTAGAGAATTTGGTTTCCTGTAGTAGTTGCTGTGTATCATAATTCAGACCTGTGGTTTGGCAGCCCTCCTGGCTGTAGTGTAAGACTCATGTAAGATCCATGCTTTTAAAATGAGTGTCTTGGAAGATTATATTCACCTCAGTCATTCAAAATTTTGGCCATGTCCCCATTCCCTGAGGAGAAGTGCCTTCCACTATGAATGCTGCAGAGAAAAGGGAGCCTGGACGCTTAGGACTGGGGAAGAACCTGCAAATTCACAGGTATCTTGCCTTGCAGTCCTGTGCCTGGGCAGTGGGTGTTTAAGTATTCTAGTCTGGCAGGCACTGTGTTTTAGGGTCCCAGTGAGATTAGTGGGTACTGGAATGGTAACTAACTTATACCCTGGTACACTTCCCGCCTAACTGTTGGTTAACTTCTGGAAAGACTAAAGGAGTAAGGGGGATTTGATGAGCTCCATCCAGCCTGCATGTTGTTGTGTAGAAAAGATAATCAGGCTCTCAGAACAAAGCTCATTTCTCTCTAATGACAGTATCCTTTGGAACAGAGATCAACAAACTTTCTGTAAAGGGCCAGGTATTTTTGGCTTGACAGGCCATTCAATTTTTGTTGTAATATCCAGCTGACTTAGAGCTAAAGCAGTCATACACTGTTCCGAAACAAGTGGGGTGGCTCTCCACGTGTAGCTCTCAATTCTCTAAGTGCAGCAGGTCTCTCAAGTGTGTGAAAGTTGATGGGATCCTTCTGTAAGGAAGGGTGTCACCTGAAGACTCCCCACACAGATCCTACATGCCCTTAAGGTGCAGTCTCAGATTACAGTTGATAATTTTTTTCTGTAAATGGCTAAATAGTAAATATTTTAGGTTTAGGGAGCAAAATGGTCTTAACTATTCAACTCTGCCATTGAAGCAGAAGAGAGGCCATAGACAATGCATAAACAAATGAGCATGGCTGTGTTCCAATGAAACTTCATGACACTGAAATTTCATATGATTTTCATGTGTTATGAAATAATTCTTTTGAGTTTTTAAAAACTGTTTACAAATGTAAAAGCCATTCTTAGCTTGAAGGCCAGACAAAAACAGGCAGTAGGACTGAATTTGGCCTGTGACCCATAGATTGCTAACTCTTGCCTTAGCTGCTTGGCAGCTTGCCCTGATCAACGTCCCACCCCAGGAGAAGAATGGCTTAGTTCTGTCATCTGCAGTCACATTATATAGTTTCTGGCTTTTTTTTTTTAAGATTTTATTTATTTGTCAGAGAGGGAGAGAGCACACAAGCAGGGGGAGCGGCAGGCAGAGGGAGAAGCAGGCTCCCCGCTGAGCAGGGAGCCCAGTGTGGGACTCGATCCCAGGACCCTGGGATCATGACCTGAGCCGAAGACAGACACTTAATTGAGCCACCCAGGCGTCCTGGAGAGAGAGAATCTTAAGCAGATTCCATTCCCAGTGCAGAGCCTGACAATGCAGGGCTTGATCTCACAACCCTGAGATCATGACCTGAGCTGAAATCAAGAGTCAGACACTTAACCGACGGAGCCACCCAGGCACCCCTATAGTTTCTAGCTTTTGTGATTACATTTATCATGCTGCGTATTAATCATGAGTATTTGTTTCTCTCTCTTATTGGACTCTGAGCTTCTTGAGAGGAGGGCCATGGCCTAATCAGTCATTTTTACATCCGTAGTATCTAACACTTGACCTGACACATAGTGGGTATTCAGAAAATGTTTAATTTGAATTTTATGGTCAGTAAATATAAAATGTCTTTACTACTGTCTTAAAGAAAAACACCTGATTGATAGGCAGTGGGCCTTTCCAAGTTCTTCCCTTTAGCAGTCCATAGTAACTGCATTTGCTGCTAGTGGATCTTGTGACTCAGTGGTTATGTAACAAAAAACCTTTCCAAATTCTTTCATTTTAGAGCTCTCTTTTGCTTTCAGATAATAGATCATTGGACTTTGAATTATTAATTTGATCTTAATGATAAGTAATGGCTTTTCATTTTTCTTATGAACCAGTGCTATAATCTGGATGAAAAAAATGATAATAGCTATTGTTTATTGAGCATATCCTACATTCCAGTCTCTTAGTCAACTCTAGTATTTCTTTAGACTTTTGGTAACTTTGTGACTACTATTAATTTACCTCTTTTTCGGACGCCTGGGTGGCTCAGTCATTAAGCGTCTGCCTTCGGCTCAGGTCATGGTCTCAGGGTCCTGGGATCGAGTCCCACATCGGGCTCCCTGCTCCATGGGAGGCCTGCTTCTCCCTCTCCCACTCCCCCTGCTTGTGTTCCTGCTCTCGCTGTCTCTGTCTCTGTCAAATAAATAAATAAAATCTTTAAAAAAATTTTTTTTACCTCTTTTTCTTTGTTCCATATATCTAAAACAAAACAAAGCAACAGCATCATATGCTTTCCTTCCATACTACCTACTGTAATGAATGATAACACTATTTCGAGCCTTTCATGTCAAATCTGAATTGATCTAGACTCCTTCCCCTCCTTCTCCCCCTATCTAAGTGGCCACTAAGTCTTATCAGTGTTTGTTTGTTTGTTTTTAATCTATTGAGTTTTTCTTCTATCTCCATCTCACTTTGCTGTAGATGAATTAGTAATTTCTCAACTTTTCCAATATGTAGTTGAACATCTTTACTAGTGTTTCTGACCCCAGTTACACCATCCCTCAGTCTACCTTATCGATAATTATCAGCATTGAGTGCTTATAGTGATAACCTGATCATGTCAATTCTGTGATGAAAACCCTTCTATCATTTCCCATCATTTTCAAAATAAAGCCAACTTCCCAGTCATGATATGCAGACCCCATGTGTGACTCCAGGGTTTAACACAGATGTGTTTCAGAACTCAGAAATATTTGGATCTCAGGTCATATAATGTACATAACACATATTATATAATACCCACTGTTCTGTGTCAGCACTGTGTAATCATGCACATTAATGTTTCTGCATCAAAGAGTATGATTATTTAGGCCAAGTAGAATAAGGACTATAAATACTATCAGTTCAGGTCATGTTTTGCTGCCAAATGAAGGCAGGAAAATGTTTAGTTTTTAGAGTTTTTTGGATTTCAGAATTTGAGATAGGAGATTATGGCCCTGTAGATATTCAGTGGTCTGCTGGAACTGGTCAACTGCAGTTGGTGATGCCATGTTGGTCATTTGAAATCAGCCATGGTAGGGGTATTTATTGCCATGGACATCAGTAAATGCAACAAATCTTTTCTGCTCCCTGGAGATCACGTTGAACATTACCAGCAGAGGATTATATGTGCCTATTATATGTATAGTATATATGTATATTTTTACCATTGTGGCAAACCAGTTTTCTCACTCTACACAGCGTAGAACAAAAGGCTGAAGTTTCCAGGGAAGCATAGAAAAAATTAAGAAAATCAATAGGATGGCAATAAGAGAAAATGGGAAAAACGGAAGCTTTGGAATTATATAGATGCGGGTTCAAATTCTAACTCCACTATTTCCAGACTGTGTGATCCTTGGTAAATCACTTACCTTATCTGGGTCTCAGTTTACACATTTGAAAAATAAGGACTGATACCTTACTCTTAAGGTTGTTTTAGGGAGGGGTGCCTGGGTGGCTCAGTCATTAAGCATCTGCCTTTGGCTCAGGTCATGATCCCAGGGTCCTGGGATCGAGCCCTGTATGGGGCTCCACGCCCAGCGGGAAGCCTGCTTCTCCCTCTCCCATTCCCCCTGCTTGTGTTCCTTCTCTTGCTGTGTCTCACTCTGTCAAATAAATAAGTAAAAAATCTTTAAAAAAAAAAAAAGGTTTTTTTAGGGATACAGAAATTAGATATCACATGCAAAGTGCCTGACATAGAATGAGCAGAAAATGATATTCTATGTTTATTATAAGCTTTGCTTTTCTGGAAGTATTTATTTCTGTAGACATGACTTCCATTCTCTGACATTCCTAATGCCCCCACAGAAAATGCATGCAGTTTAGCACTTGTGTGTTTTCTGGTTAGTTCATCCTGTGTCCATTGACCTCCTTATAAAGATGATCCTTGACTTCTCTTGAGCATGTTTGTGTAAACTAAATTTATAGGCCTGTGCTTTTTTCCCATGAAAAGCTTTTAGTCATTGACTTAATAAACATTAATTGAGCATCTATTACATATTAATGTGCTATGTGCTGGTGATAGATTAACAAGACATATAATAACTTATATTTCAGTGGAATGATAGATAGTTGGGCAAGGAAGCCAACTATTTAAATGCAGGGAAATTAGGAGGCTTCTGTAATCAGCTGGATGAGAAGTGATGGTGATAGGAACTAAGATAATGGCAGTAGGAATGGAGGAGAGCTGTTTCACTCAAACATAAAGACTATAGAACTGGATAATTTGGAAATGATCTTGCTTTCTTTCTCCCTGTCCCATCTGAGATCTCTGGCTTTGCCTTCTGCATAGGTGGTGGTGCCATTTATCAATATAACATGTACATGAAGAGGACCAGATCTTGAGCAGAAGATGATGGGTCCAGTTTTGGACCATGTTAGTTTTGAGGTGTGTATAGGGTATCTGGGTAGGGTGACCATATAATTTTATCATACAAACTTGAACATTTATGAGAGTAAGTAGGATGTGCTGTTAACAGTGAAGGCTGGGGCAGTAGGTATAATACTGGACCTGTCCTGGAAAAACCAAGGATGTCAAGAAAAGATCAATAAATATCAATATCAAGCAAAAAGTATAGAGTGAAAAGAGCAGTGGGTTCAGTGGAGTACTGGAGAAATTTTTTTTTTAATTTAAACTCAATTAACATATATATTATTAGTTTCAGAAGTAGAGTTTAGTGATTCTAAACTAAACTTGTACATATAACAGTTATATGTACAAGTTGCATATAACACCCAGTGCTCATTCCATCAAGTGCCCTCCTTAATGCCCATTATCCAGTTACCCCATCTACCCACCCACCTCCCCTCCAGCAACCCTCAGTTTGTTTCCTACAGTTAAGAGTTTCTTGCGGTTTGTCTCCCTCTCTGGTTTTGTCTTATTTTATTTTTCCCTCCCTTCCCCTATGTTCATCTGTTCTGTTTCTTAAATTCCACATATGAGTGAAATCATATAATTGACTTTCCCTGACTTATTTCGCTTAGCATAATACCTTCTAGTTCCAACCATGTCGTTGCAAATGGTGAGATTTCATTCTTTTTGATGGCTGAGTGGTAGTCCATTTTATATATATACATCTTTTTTTCATTTTTAAACTTTTTTTAAAAATTCAGTTAATATATTGTTAGTTTCAGAGGTAGAGGTCAGTGATTCATCAGTCTTATATAAGACCCAGTGCTCATTACATCACATGCCCTCCTTAATGTCCATCACCCAGTTACCCCATCCCTCCACCTCCCTCCCCTCCAGCAACCCTCAGTTTATTTCCTATGATTAAGAGTCTCTTATGGTTTGTCTCCCTCTCTGATTTCATCTTGTTTTATTTTTTCCTCTCTTCTCCTGTGATCCTCTGCCTTGTTTCTTAAATTCTGCATATCAGTGAGATCATATGATAATTGTCTTTCTCTGATTGACTTATTTTGCTTAGCATAATACCCTCTTGTTCTATTCATGTTGTTGCAAATGGCAAGATTTCAATTTTTGATGGCTGAGTAGTATTCCATTCCATGTGTGTACACACACACATATACATACCACATTCTCTTTACCCATTCATCTGTCGATGGACATCTGGACTCTTTCCATAGTGTGGCTATTGTGGACATTGCTGCTATAAACATTGGGGTGCCTGTGCCCTTTCGACCACTATGTTTGTATCCTTTGGATAAATACCTAGTAGTGCAATTGCTGGGTCGTAGGGTAGCTCTATTTTTAACTTTTTGAGGAACTTCCATACTGTTTTCCAGAGTGGCTGTACCAGTTTGCATTCCCACCAACAGTGTAAGAGGGTTCTCCTTTCTCTGCATCCTTGCCAACATCTGTTGTTTTCTGACTTGTTAATTTTAGCCATTCTGACTAGTGTGAGGTGGCATTCCATTGAGGTTTTGATTTGTAGTTCCCTGATGCCGAGTGATGTTGAGCATTTTTTCATGTGTCTGTTGGCCATTTGGATGTCTTCTTTGCAGAAATGTCTGTTCATGTCTTTTTTTTTTTTTTTAAAGATTTCATTTATTTATTTGACAGAGAGAGATAGTGAGAGCAGGAACACAAGCAGGGGGAGTGGGAGAGGGAGAAGCAGGCTCTCCGTGGAGCAGGGAGCCTGATGTGGAACTCGATCCCAGCACCCTGGGATCATGACCTGAGCCGAAGGCAGACGCTTAACGACTGAGCCACCCAGGTGCCCCTATCTGTTCATGTCTTCTGCCCATTTCTTCACTGGATTATTTGTTCTTTAGGTGTTGAGTTTGATAAGTTCTTTATAGATTTTGGATACTAACCCTTTATCTGATAAGACATTGGCAAATGTCTTCTCCCATTCTGTCGGTGGTCTTTTGGTTTTGTCAGCTGTTTCCTTAGTTGTGCAAAAGCTTTTTATCCTGATGAAGTCCCAATAGTTCATTTTTGCTTTTGTTTCCCTTGCCTTTGGAGACATGTCTAGCAAGAAATTGCTACAGCTGAGGTCAAAGAGGTTGCTCTGTGTTCTCCTCTAGAATTTTGATGGATTCCTGTCTCACATGTAGGTCTTTCATCCATTTTGAGTCTATTTTTGTGTATGGTATAAGAAAATGATGCAGTTTTATTCTTCTGCATGTGGCTGTCCAATTTTCTGAACACCATTTGTTGAAGAGACTGTCTTTTTTCCATTGGACATTCTTTCCTGCTTTGTCGAAGATCAGTTGACCATTGAGTTGAGGGTCCCTATCTGGGTTCTCTGTTCTAGTCCACTGATCTATGTGTCTGTCTGTTTTTGTACCTGTACCATACTGTCTTGATGATTACAGTTTTGTAATACAGCTTAAAGTCTGGAATTGTGATGCTACCAGCTTTGATTTTCTTTTACAACATTCCTTTGGCTATTTGGGGTCTTTTCTGGTTCCATACAAATTTTAAGATTATTTGTTCCGGTTCTGTGAAAAATGTTGATGGTATTTTGATAGGGATTGCATTGAATGTGTAGATTGCTTTGGGTGTCCTGGAGAAATTTTTAAGAGGCGGGGGGGGAATGTGACCATTGAGACAGGAAGGAAACCTGGAGTTAGTGGTCTCACAGAATCCCAGGGAATAATCATTTTATTTTCTCTTGTCTTTTGTTTAGGAATGGAGTCCCTTTGAGGGATTCATCAGAAATGATTATCTGCAGTGAGAGGTCATATACTTTTTAAAAAGGGGTTTTACCTCTTATTAGAATACTAATTTGAATGACTTCTTATGTATTATGATATAAAACTCTCAAGTTTTATTAGGCACTTTTGTTTTGCAGTCATTTGGCCAAAATCTAATTCAGATCCAGTTTAAATCTAGGTGTCACTTTATATTTATTTTATTTATATTTATTTATTTTATCCTAAGATGATGAGTTATTTAGTCAAATATAGTGAGTATAACCAGAAGCATAAAGTAAATTTCTAGATTAAGAGACAGAATACATTTATTCTATAATATTGAAAATCATAAATAGCACTTCTTTTCCTTCTTTAGAAAAAAGAGTTCTTTAGGAAGTCAACAGAAAAATAGAACAAATGAATATTTTGCATTCTTAGTAGACTATGGTTGGCTATTTTCCCCCTAATATTTTATTATGAAAAATTTCAAGCATACAAAGAATAGAAAGAATTATACCTACTAGCTTTAATTAATGTATTGCTGTCTTTGCTTTATCACACATCTGTCAGTCTGTTTGTCCCTCTAATCATTCATCAGTCCATCCTATTTATTTGTTTAATTTTGATGCCTTTCAAGTAAGTTGATTGGCTGTTTTCCTAAGCAATCTTAGCATTGTTATTTTTTTTGTGGATGTTGTAATTAAATTGTTAACCTGTTTTGTGCAGATGTTTTTAGCTGACCATTTTTCCTGTTTCTAGAAATACAAAGTTGCCAATAATAGCTATCAAATTTAGGACATTAAAAAAAAGTCTGGGAAATAGTGTTATGTCCTCTTTCTCAATAGATTTATAATCCAGACACTTACAGTTTTTAAAGTTATCAAAAATAATTTCCATTGGTCTTTTAACATTATTTTTTGGTATTCTAAATAAATACTTATTCATATTCATATTATATTGTTTTTAGAGTGGAAAGATCTACAGACCAAGTCATCAAGCCAGTCAATGTGGGAGCACTATCAAAATGGGTTGGGAAGATACCCCCAGATGTTTTACAAGACATGGCGGTGATTGCACCTATGCTTGCCAAACTTGGATATGACCCATATGCCAATCCACCTAACTATGGAAAACCTGATCCCAAAATCCTTGAAAACACTAGAAGGGTAAGTGAGATTTTTAAAGTGAATTGATAAAACTGGATATGGAATTTGGGTCCTGAAAAGTTTTTTCTTACTTTGCTTCTTATTTTTTATGATCAGAAATTTAAGTTTGAACAATTATATTTTAGAATGCTTTATCATAAGAACACTTACACTGCATTTTAAGGGTAACTGTGACTCTTCCCAGGAATTATGGGGACAATTATTTAATCTCCTTTGTCCAATTTCTAGAAATGGTGCTTATTGTCGGGGAGATTTATTCTCATAGCTGATTACCACAGATTTGCCAGAAAAACCAGAATTATTAGTGACCTCACTTCTAGGGGTTTTTTTTCCCCTTTGAACCTAATAGCTACTTTACTTTTAAACCTTTGTTTAAATGGGGCATGATTTCTTGATACTTGAAAACTGAACATTGGCTACATCAAAAGAATTATTAAACAGGTGTAATAAGTTACCTTCTGATTGAAAGTTGCTATTAAAGTGTAATTACGGCTTTTTAAATGCTCACATCTTTATAAAATATTGTTTTAGAAAAGCTGAAAACTCAAAGCTAATCTGAATATGTACCTTTCTCATGTAATTTATTTCAAATCAGAATTTTCTTTTTTTATTGTTGTAAAATATACGTAACATCAAATTTAGCATTTTGACAATTTATAAGTGTGGAGTTAGTGGTATTGAGTACATTCACATTGTCGTGCACTGCCACCACCATCCATCTCCAAAACTTTTTCATCTTTCTAAACTGAAACTACATACTCATTATCCTTTCCCCCTCCTTTCAGCCCCTAACAATCACAATTCTACCCTCTGTCTCTACATGCATTCTTTTCTAAAACTGCAGTTTAAACAACACAACTATGTTAACTTAAGTTTACTGATAGGCTTGAGTTCCAGATTAAAATTCCTTGCTTTTCGGGCGCCTGGGTGGCTCAGTCGGTTAAGTGACTGCCTTCGGCTCAGGTCACGATCCTGGAGTCCCGGGATCGAGTCCCGCATCAGGCTCCCTGCTCAGCGAGGAGCCTGCTTCTCCCTCTAACCCTCCCCCCTCTCATGTACTCTCTCTCTCATTCTCACTCTCTCAAAATAAATAAATAAATCTTTAAAAAAAAAATTCCTTGCTTTTCTCAGGTATTCTCTTGCTTTTATGTTAGTGTCCTTCTCTCCCTGCAACCTTATATCATCTCTTTATTCAGTCTTTTTTTTTGATACCTTTAATTGACAAACACACTTATATTTCATGAGGTTAATTCCATGTGGATTTTTTTCTCTTATGTATTATGTACTTTAATTTTCCTTTTTCGGTTCACTAGTGACTATATATAGGAAGAGCTAACTTCTTCTAAACCATCATATATATAGCTAGCTTTTTTATTTTTTAAATAACCTTTATTCTCTTTATGATTTCATATATACATTTTATTATAAAAATATAAGCTTGGTGTATATAACTTATAAAATTAAAAAGATAAGAAAATTGACTTATGTTACCAACCATACACATACCATTCTTACTATTTCAGTGGATTTCCCTTCCTTCTCTGCCTATTGTTAAACAAAGGTAAGATTGCATTGTTTTATAATCTTACTTTTGCACACACACACACAATTTTGTATCCAGCCCTTTCCTTGTAATAGTCACAAGCGTGTTAGCTTTTTTTTTTTTTTTTAAGATTTTATTTATTTGACAGAGAGCAGAGGCAGAGGGAGAAGCAGACTCCCCACTGAGCAGGGAGCCCAATGCAGGACTCTTGACTGAGCCACCCAGGCACCCCCGAGCATGTTGCTTTTTAAACATAATTTTTCATGGTTACATAATATATTATCATATGATCCACCTTAAATCCTTTCTGAAACACAGTAGTAGGTCAATAAATGAATGAACAAATAAAATATATTTCCCTAATATATGTTCTATAATTCATTTTATCATTTTCCTTTTGTTGCTTACAGTTTTCTGTTTGACACATTACACTACAATGAACGTCTTTGCACAAAATACATTTTAGTTTCTTTTTTTTTAAGGTTAGACTAATGAAAGTAGAATTAAACCAGGTCCAAGTATCTGAAACTTTTTAAGTTGCTTGATATATGTTGATAATTTCTTTTTAATCTTTTGAACTATCTGTATAATAGGTAATTTTATTTTTTATTTTTGTTAATTTTAATAGTTTTCGTTGATTAATATAACTGAACATTTCCCAGTTGGTATGCATATATTTTTTTATGGACCATCTTTGAAGTTTTAAAAAAGTTTACATTCTGCTAAAGATGAAGTACACATGAGTCTAACATCCATTATCATAGTCTTTGATAATCTCTTGGTAATTGGTAATTCATAGCTTTCTCCTTTGTACAATAGTGGAATGTTTTTTATAAGCCAGAAACATGTACAAATGATACTTAAGAGGTTTTCCAGGCAGTAGTAGTTTTCCTACATGCAAGTTGACTGGCTAGATTATTCTTGGCCTGCTTGAGTTGTAGGTTGGGAAGAATGCTGTGGTTTGAATCCATGTGACTAGAGAATTTGTTTCATACACACTTGTGGCTTTTTAAAGGGTTTCTGAATGCACACTTGGGGAGGGACCTTTTCCCCCCATCTCTATTTCTGAAGAGACAAATAATTTTGAGGGGAAAAAAGATAAAGTGTGAACTATTATTGCATTTTTGAGCACTTCATGATAATACATACAAGCTGACATTCTTGTTTTGTGGGGTTGGGTTTCATAGCCCTTCTTATAATCTAAGTCCTATGTTTTTTTGAAGCTTCTTTGCTTGCAGAAACTCAGATGCTAATATATCCAGCATTGATGATCATGAAGTTTCATAAAGTAATGCTTAAAAAGTGATCTTTGATTGTTAAGTATGATGTGAGAATGGGTCCAGAGAAAGAAGGTGGCTAGGGAGATTATTCCTTTATTTATGGGATGGGAGTGGGAAGAAATTCACATTTTGACTGGGAATATAAAATCTGAAGCTCCAGGCCTAAAAGTGCTGGTTTTCATATAATTCTGGGTAGTCTAGAAGCATTGGTGTCTGAGTCAACATATTTTGGGGACACATTGCCCAATTTTAAACAGAAAATCATGTGCTTGATGGTTCATGACTCAGATGGTAAATTGGAAATTAAATGTTAACATATTCCATACTCTTTCCCATCATAGTCTTTAATCCCAAAATTGTGGCACATTTAAGTAAATAGTGCCCTCTTGGTTGCAGCCTCAGCCTTCCACTCTCTCATAGGTTTTTAATCTTTTTAGATTCACAAACCTAATTGAGAATCTGATTAAATATATGGATATCTACCTTAGAAATGGAGACACAGAGATGCACAGAATTTTACCCACCATTTCAGTGAATTCGTAGATGTCCCTAAAGCCCCTCACATTAAGGACTTCTGTTTTGTAGTCTCCTTGATCAGGCTCATCCACTCATGTGGCTTTGATTAGAGCCTATTTGCTGATGTATCTCCCCGTGGATTTCTTCCCTAGGCCCCAGGTTCCTTATTTCCAGCTGCCTTTTGTATATCTACACCTACATGCTCACAAAGATTTGAAACACAGTGACCAAAATAGAACTTACTTTCCGAACTCACTCCATTGTAGGCAGAAGCTCAATGGAAATGTTCACTAAACTGAGCAGGAATCTAGAGTAGGAGTGGGATAGGCTAGCTCATCTGTACTTGAAGCATCTGTGAGCCACTGAGAAGATAGGAGGAGCAGAGTCCTCAGGGCACTTGAGTCAAGCCAGAAAACAGTTTAAAGACCTGCTTACTAAACCTGAAGAGAGAGCTGAAAAGCAGATCAAAGTTTGAATGGACTATGCAGTTGAAAACCTGAATAGACACACTAATAAAGAGCAAGTAGTCAAATGGAAAAGCAGGTATCAGGAGGGTTCTTCCAAAGGCTGCAGAACCCACCGTAGCAAGCAAGAAGGAACTTGATATAAAGCATAGGAACTATTGGTAGAAGTGTTAGATATTGTTGATTGCCTGTTCCATCTTTTCCTGTTAGTAAGAACTCTCTCTTAAAAAATAAACTAAAAATTCCTGGTATTAATTTTTCTAGACTTTCTTATAGGTGGGATAAGCATGTGGCCAATTTTTATCTAGGCAATGCTATATAAGGAGATGTCTGCTAGGGTTTTCTGGGAGACATTTAACTTTCTGAGAAAATAAAGAATTGTATGAAGAGAGCTTATCCTTCCCTTTCTGCTTTTGAACATTGCTATAGAAGAACATCAGGTGTGGCTCTGCTATAGCTACCTTGAGATCATAAGAGAAGATATCACTGATACTTGGATGATGGTAGAAGAAAGACAAAGAAAGAGCCTGGGCCCCTTGATTTCTGAGCTACTGGGCCTAGCTCAGGACTGACCATCTACCTCACCTCTGTACTTTTTATGTGTTTGAACTACTCTTAACCAATTATTCTGTAATTGTATCTTAACTGCTAGTGGAGTCCTATTCCTGAGTGTGTGGAGGAAACAAAGCAACCCAGTGAGGCAAGCAGAGCGAGTCCAAGAAAGAGTCTGGCACTATTTGAAGTCCTGGTTCTCTGTGAATATCATATTCAACTCTGCTCTTGCCACAGTTACGTGAGACATCGTCATTCACATCCAGGAAAAACCCGCCTTGGACTCCTTTACTTTAATTGGGCTTCTGGGCCATAGAAGGAGTATTACAACTAATAACTGTTCTTGGTGAATTTGAAGGATGATAAATCTTAAGCTATTCCTCATTTCCTTGATTTCTTGTACTCAAACTTTAGCTGTTTTAGTTAAAGGAATACTTACCACATTCTCTTAAAATTTTCATAGACCTTCAGAGCAACAACTGTGGAATTAAATTCAATTCCTTATTCCAGCTTTTTTTCCCCCCAAGTATTTTGCCTTGATTTTGAAAACAGGCAGAATTGTTTCCTTTGGGCATTTTATGAAGAATATATGAGGAGGTTCAGAGTAGTACATTTTACCATCTCTCAGAATATACCTCAGTCTGTATTTAGATCATTTTAAGACTATAATTATTAAACAGGTAATTACTAAATAATTGCTCTAGGCATAACACTTAGTTGCTTCAGAAGAAACAAAGACTGGGTTTGTATATGGGAGGAAGATGTGGGTAATTAGAAAAGACATGACAGAAATAATAAGGTAATGATAAGATGACAGAAAATTTTCCACTGTGTTTTAAAGGCATAAAAACTGGTTTTAGAAACTCAGGAATTTGTCCACTGGGTCACTCTCAAAATCTGAGACTACCCCAAGGGAATATCCACAAGATTGTGCCCTTTGACTCATCGTTCTAAGTCAAATCTTTGTTTCATCTTTTCTGTCACCATTTTGGCACAGTCATTCACAAATGTGTCCCAATAACTTGTGATTTCTGCCAGAAATCCTCTTGGGGGTCATGAATTTCATGTATTCATCTTTGCTGTGTAAAGCAAGTCTTCTTCTTTGTCTTTTACTTACCTAGATCAAATGTCAAAGGAGCCCCTTTGTTATGTGTACAAGCCACATATTCCTTACTCGTGTCATTCCTGATTTAATACATTTAAATTATCTTGTTTAACAACAGTTGTCTTCACATGTGATCCTATCTGAAGGCCTGTGGGGAATCCAGTCTCTTAAAAGAAGCAGGTTCCATAGTTCCTCTCATATTTCTCTTTCTGCTTTCATTAGTGAGACCATCTTTTGAGGAAGAGAGCACACTTGAAGCTAAGAGGTTTGGTTGAGTAGCTATATACAGTTTCCCTTGGGATTCTAAAGAAATCAATTCTCTTTATGTCAATTAATACCTGTTTTTAAACATTCAGAAATGATACACCAAACAATAATACCCAACTCTTAGAAAATCCATGTCTATAATGGGAATATAATAAACCAGAATAATGAGAAGTAATTTTATACCCTGTGCTCTTATTCAAGGGAAAATAAGGGAGAAGATATTTCTAGGTTAACTTAGTATCAGATTACCAGTGCCTGCAATAGTTTTGTCTGATTACCTTTTAAAAATTCCATAAAGGGGCGCCTGGGTGGCTCAGTTGGTTAAGTGTCTGACTCTTGGTTTTGGCTCAGATCATGATCTCAGGGTCCTGGGATTGAGCCCTGTGTCAGGCTCCACGCTCAGTGTGGAGTCTGAGATTTTCTGTTTCCCTCTGCTCCTCCCCCACGCTTGCACACACACTGTTTTTCTCTCTCAAAATAAAAAAAATAAAATAAAAATTCCATAAAGATACTTTAATAAAGAGAAACATCATTGTAAAAGAAAGATATGAAAAAGCTTTATGCTAAAGAATGGGGAAATTTTCTAATAAGTTTATCATTGATTACATTGAGGACCACATTCATGTCACTTCCTTAAACCCAAGTTTACCAATGGCCACAAAGAAGGCATAATAAGGATTGGACTCACCTTTACTCTCCATTTCCAACTCCAGATTGGAAGAGCTGCCCTGACTAAAAATCAAGAAGTTAAGAGTTATTAGCTGGTCTGCTAAAAATCCTAACCCTGTCATTTCCCCTTTCTATAGTCACTCTGTCTTTCTGTATCCACTCTCAAGCCACAGCCCCAGGTAAACAACATGTCTGAAGTATAAGGAACATGTGATAAAGGGCAGAATTGATGCTACAGAAAATCAAGTGAATGACATAGCACACTTGAGTGCTCTTCTAGGATGCACAGTGAAAGGACAGAGATGGAAATGATAGGTAAAAGGGAAGTATACATACAAAAGAAAGAAAATTGGAAATTAACCAATGAATAATAGAAATCTCTAAAGGAAAAATCAGAAGAAATAGAACAGAAGCATTAATCAAATTTGTCATTGTAGGAAAGTTTCTAAGGCTGAAAATGACCTGAAGAATAAAAAGGGCTTACTATTTTCTAAAGAACACATGAAAAAATGTCTGTACTATATTTTGGTGGTATTTAAAAAATTTCAAAGATCCTGTGGGGGGAAAAACACTGCATATAATGAAGCAGAAAACAATGGGCTACCTACAAAAAAAATGAAAATTATGCTAGTGGCAGAATTATCTTTTGCAATACGGGATATTTGAAAAAAATGGAACAATGGTTCTTAACCTGCATGTACTTTATGGTGTCTTTGAATTCCCTGAAATAATACAAACTTATGTGTGTTGACGCAAATTGATTTTCCTGGAAATAGAATCTATATCTTTCATCATATTTTCAAGTGAAATAAAGAATCATAATAGAGCAATCTCCATAGCACTTTTTCTTTTGAAATAATTTAAAACCTGGAGAAAAGTGACAAGAATAACACAGAAGACTCCTGTATCTCCTTTCTCAGTTTCACTAATCTTTAACTTTTGGCCAAAAGTATGTCCTTCACCAACTCCCCCCGCCCTTCTTCCCTCTCTCTCCCTCTCTCTCTGTATATGTATAAAATATATTTACCAGTTTTACTTTTGTCTTACCATTCTCTCATTTTACACTAACACACATACACACACTATATTGTATTATGTTACTTATTCATTTATAATTTGAGAATTGGTTGTATACATCATGCCCCTTTGTTTTTAAGATTTCTTAAAAACAAGAATATTATCTTACATAACATCAGTACAGTTTATCAAATTCAGAGAACTTCACATTGACACAATGCTTTTATCTAATTTATAGTCTGTATTTCAGTGTTGTCAATTGTCTCAATAATGCACTTTCTTGATTTTTTTCCCCCCACCAGTACAGGTTTCATTGTAAGATTACATATTGTATTTAGTTTCATGTTGTTTCAGTTTCCTTTAACCTGTAACATTTCCTCATATGTTTTATGTCTTTAATGACATTGACATTTTTGAAGAATTCAGGCAAGTTATTTTATACAGTGCTCCTCATTGTGGGTTTGTTTGATGTTTCCTCATGGTTAAATCAGATGGTGCATTCCCAGCAGGATACTAGATATATGGTATTGTTTCATTCTTAAGGAATCACATCTGGAGGCACATGATATCCATCTGTACCTCCTTGCTGTTGTTAATTTTTCTGTTTGTAAAGGTGTTTTTCCAGTGTCTCCACTCTGTATTTATTATTTTCTCCTTCTCATTTAAAGCAACTTTGCACTTTGAGACTGTGTAAATATCAGATGCCTGAGTGGCTCAGTCAGTTAAGTGTCTGAGTCTTGATTTCCACTCAGGTCATGATCTCAGGGTCCTGGGATCGAGCCGCACACTCTGCACTCAGCGTGGAATCTGCTTGATACTCTCTCTCTCCCTCTGCCCCTCCCCCGCTTGCATGAGCTCTAACTAAATAAATAAAATATTTTTCCTTAAGATTTTATTTATTTATTTGACAGAGAGAGAGTACAAGCAAGGGTAGCGACAGAGGGAGAGGGAGAAGCAGACTCTCCCTGAGCAAGGAGCCAGTCGCGGGACTCGATCCCAGGACCCTAAGATCATCGCCTGAGCCAAAGGCAGATACTTAACCAACTGAGCCACCCAGGCACCCCAATAAATAAAATCTTTTTTAAAAAAGACTGTGCAGGGCACCTGGGTGGCTCAGTGGGTTAAGCGACTGCCTTTGGCTCAGGTCATGATCCTAGAGTCCCAGGATTGAGTCCTGCATCAAGCTCCCTGCTCAGCAGGGAGTCTGCTTCTCCCTCTGACCCTCCCCCCTCTCATTCTCTCTCTCTCTCTCATAAATAAATAAATAAATAAATAAATAAAATCTTTAAAAAATAAAAAAGTAAAGACTGTGCAAATCTTGCTTTTCATTAAACTTCACACCTTAGATTTGGCATCCATTGATAATTTTTGCTCACAGCGGTCTTTATTGTGATAGTTATGAGATGCTGGTTTGTGCAACCCTACAACTCTCTCCATTTTATAGAATTATCCATGTCACAGAATTCTGCCCCGAATTGTCTTTGTTATGGTAGTGACAGGAAGCAGATGGCACACTCGCAAGAGTTTAGCTGACAAGATTTTATTGAAGGATTGATTTCCTGAAATGTGGCCATGGTTAAGGAATCAACAAGGAATGATGAAGTGCCAGTAACTAGCAGCAAAGAGAAGCCATTACCACCCTCAGGCCTTCAGAGGCCATGCCGCTCACCAGTCTGGTGGAAACCAGGACGAACTACACATAGGTGCTCTGGCTCTAGAGGAAAGCGGCTACTGACAGCACAGAGGCAAGGTAGATGTTTTGTCTACAGTGGTGGGTGATGGATTTGTCCACTTCTCCCTTAAGTTGTCAAAGTTTGCTTTATTTTGAGGCTACTTTATTGAGAGCTTACAAATTTAGAATCATTACTGTTTCCTGGCAAATTGAGCACTTTATCATAATCTAAAGATTCTGTCACAAAAATGCTTTTTGTCGTACAGTAGGGTTGCCAGATAAAATACAGGATAGCCAATTAAATTTGTATTTCAGATAAACAAATAATTTTTAGTGTACGTGTGTTCTGAATACATTAAAAAGTATTCATTGTTTATCTGAAATACAAATTTAACTTATAGTCCTGGGTTTTCTTTATTTTCACTAAATTTAGCACCCCATCTTTAAAAAGACTATTTTTTTAGTACTAATATAGCTACCCTGACTCCTTTTGGTTGTAATTTCTCTACTATTTCTTTTTCTATTTTGTAAATTTCAGCATTTCTAAGTCTTTATGTTTTAATGGTTTCTTAGCCATTAGCTGGAATTGTATTTAATCTAATCTGGTCTATGTTTTCTAGCAAGTTTTTTGTGGGTCTTTTTGGTGTTTCTTTTTTTCCTTTATTTATTTATTTTCTATTTTTTTTTAGCATATAATGTTTTATTGGTTTCAGAGGTACAGGTCTGTGATTCATCAGCCTTATATAATACCCAGTGCTCATTACAGCACATGCCCTCCTTAATGTCCATCACCCAGTTACCCCATCCCTCCATGCCCCTCCCCTCCAGGAACCCTCAGATTGTTTCCTAGAGTTAAGAGTCTCTTATGGTTTGTCTTCCTCTCTGGTTTCATCTTGTTTTATTTTTTCCTTTCCCCTATGGTCCTCTGTTTTGTTTCTTAAATTCCACATATCAGTGGGATCATATAATAATTGTCTTTCTCTGATTGACTTATTTCACTTAGCATAAAACCCTCTAGTTCCATCCACCTCATTGCAAATGGCAAGATTTCATTTTTTGATGTCTGCATAATATTCCATATTCATCTGTTGGTGGACACCTGGGCTTCTTCCATAGTTTGGCAATTATGGACATTGCTGCTATATATAAACATTGGGGTGCAGGTGCCCCTTCTGACCACTACATTTGTATCTTTGGGGTAATACCCAGTAGTGCAATTGCTGGGTCATAGGGTAGCTCTATTTTTAACTTTTTAAGGAACCTCCATACTGTTTTCCAGAGTGGCTGTACCAATTTGCATTCCCACCAACAGTGTAGGAGTGTTCCCCTTTCTCTGCATCCTCGCCAACATCTGTTGTTTTCTGACTTGTTAATTTTAGCCATTCTGACTGCTGTGAGGTGGCATCTCATTGTGGTTTTGATTTGCAGTTCCCTGGTGCGAAGTGATGTTGAGCATTTTTTTTCATGTGTCTTTTGGCCATTTGGATGTCTTCTTTGCAGAAGTGTCTGTTCATGTCTTCTGCCCCTTTCTTCACTGGATTATTTGTTCTTTGGGTGTTGAGTTTGATAAGTTCTTTATAGATTTTGGATACTAGCCCTTTATCTGATAAGATATTTGAAAATATCTTTTCCCATTCTGTCAGTGGTCTTTTGGTTTTGTCAGCTGTTTCCTTTGCTGCGCAATAGTTTTTTATCTTGATGAAGTCCCAATAGTTCATTTTTGCTTTTGTTTCCCTTGCCTTTGGAGACATGTCTAGCAAGAAGTTGCTGTGGCTGAGGTCAAAGAGGTTGCTCTGTGTTCTCCTCTAGGATTTTGATGGATTCCTGTCTCACATGTAGGTCTTTCATCCATTTTGAGTCTATTTTTGTGTATGGTGTGAGGAAATGATCCAGTTTCATTCTTCTGTATGTGGCTGTCCAATTTTCTGAACACCATTTGTTGAAGAGACTGTCTTTTTTCCATTGGATAT